CAGAGTGGTGGCACGTAGGTGAAAGTCCATCTCCTGCCAGAGCTGGGCAGGATGGTGATACGCTGTGCTGGAGCACCTGAATGACGCTTGTTGCAGGCAGAAGGCATTGCTATAGCAGGGCTCTTTTCTCTCCTGCAGTATCCCATTCCTCTCAGAGATGTCTTGTGGAGTTTCAGAGCAAACTTGAATTTTCTTGGCTTATAAAGAGAAGCTCAGAAGGCAAAATTTACCCTTTCAGTATCCTGGCCTGAGTAGGAACTGTTTTTTTCTTCACTGATCTCAGCCATTCATTATAGTTGTGTATCAGTCCCAAAGGATCCAGAAGCTCCAGCCAGATTGTGCAGCCACTAACTAGTTCTGTGGTAGAAGACAGAGAAACCCCAGTGCTTGGAAAAATTCAGCTGGCTTCTGCCAGCCAGCTGTATCCAGGCTAAGGCTGCCTCCTGTTCCCCTGCTTTGCTTGCCCTGAGACCCGGACAGTTTGGATGCCCGGCTGGCTGTCCTCACGACTGCTTTATCTCTTGACGTGGCACAGATGACCCGGCTGCTGCTGGAGTACGGCTCGGATGTGAATGCGAGCAGCTGCACGGCCGACATGGCTCTGCACATTGCGGTCCAGCGGGGCCGCCTGGACTGCGCCATGGTCCTGCTGACACACGGCGCCCACACCAACGCCCGGGGACGCGATGGCAACACACCGCTGCACCTGGCCATGAAGGTGAGCTTTCTGCAGAGGCTGCTGGGAAGGAGAGATGATTTTCTTGAAGGGTTGAGATGGTGACAGAGTCCTTTGAAATTCTGACTTTTTCGTGTGATGTTCCCTTGTGGGTGCTTTGGCTAATGAAAAACGGAGGGAAGGAATGAGAAATCGTGTAATGGCTCTTGACTGAGCGTTCTCTTCTCTTCTAGCATGACCACCTGGATATGATCAAAGCAATCATTGTCTTTGGAGGAGATGTTGAGGTCCCGAATGATTTTGGGGAGACACCAGGATTGTTGGCAGCCAGGAGCAGCAAAGGTGAGGGAGCATGTCAGCAGCCTTACAGGGTGAGCCCAGCATCCTGTCTCCCTTTGGTGGCCAAAACAATCACTTGGGGAGAGGTGAAAACATGCTGTGCATGGGTGATGCTTCTCCAACATGCTTTCCCAGCTTCTAGTTGCTCACGTAGTAGGCACCTACTTTGCTAGCAGCACAGGTTTTGTGTTAATAGCCCTTGATGAATTTCTCTTCTGTGACACAGAGATGCACGAGGAAAAGCTAGCATGCATCCCCCCTCTTTCGGGTCACCATGTCAGGCACTGCAGGCTCACAGTGGGATCGTGTAGCCCTGCTGAACTGCCCAGGGACAGGCAGACATGGGCTGTTCTTCAGAGGCAAGAAGTGTGTGGCACATGCCCTTGAAGCTGCACAGCACTGGATACTCCTGCTGCCTGGAGTTTGGGGTGAAATACCTGGGATGTGTTTTGCCCTTCCCCAGGCCATCCCAGAGGCTTTGTGAGGGTCAGGCCTGCTATGAATTCGGCAGAGCACGTTCCCCTGTGGTGTGCACTGATTCTCTTTCTGATCTGTAACTCCCCCTTCATCGCCTAAGGTGCAAACCGGAAAGTGCTCTTAGACCTGCTGCAAACTGTAGGGACCGAACGCTGCCACCCACCTCCCAACACTGACTCCCCAGGCCTGGAATCATCTGCTGTCTCCTTCCTGGAAGGCCAGCCTTCCTCACGGAGCAACCTCAACAGCTTAGGTAAAGCCTTCCCTGGCCCTCCCTCACTCTTCTCCCTTCTTGCTTCACAGTGCTGTCTCAGATCTCTTCTTCAGATGAGCCATGCTCTGGGAATTGTCAAA